CAAAAAAGCTTGTGGGACAGATGGACATATACTCCACCATGGTCCATAAGTTCTCTGGAATTAAAGATCAGATCAAAGACACTATGAGAGCAAAAAAAAAAAACACAACAAAAAGAAAGGTGCCAGAATGCCACCTAACCATATAACAAAATTAACTACAGTACCAACACTAAATGTAAGCTTACACATTCAAATATTTCAAGGAAAAGTTAAAAATAAATTCAAAGCCAATTTTACAGCATATACATACACTGTGCCAGCATTTTTGTTAATCAGTGAACACCAGTCAGAGAATGTTTCATAGCTAGTTGATTGGCAGAGATAGAAGTTAACATTGTCTTACACTGAAAATCTACTTCTGATAGGTAGTTAACTCCAATTACGCAAAGTTACCTCGATCTCCTTTCTGCTCTCTAAGCATTGCTAATATAAATTTTCATGCTCAGCACACCAGTCTATATACTCCACCAATCTTGCACCACTACTGAACATGTATATAGCAAGTGACTACTCTCCACCAACAGTGCTGCACTACCTATATTGGTAATCTGCTAATCCTATCCAATCCTCACTTTCAAGAACTAACAGAATATAAAAGAATAACACTGGCAGTGGGGAAAATGGGTGGGAGGTGTGTTTGAGAGGAGGTAAGAACCTATCGGAAATACATTTTCAGTGTAAGAAAATTTTAACTTCCAATACTGTCTTACCTAATCTCCAACACAGCTAGAATCCCACATTGCAAAAGTGGAGGGACCAGTGTTTGTGTACAACATTGAAGCTATGTGGAAGGTGACCACCCAGAATGAATGGGTATGCTTCAAGAACTGTAGCCCACTTGTGGGGTATCGCACTACTTCTGGAACAGGTATGCCTCATGCCCTGGAAGAAGAAATTGAACCTGACACAGGCAGAAAAAACGGATGTGCACATGTGTAATGCATTCCGAGAGGTGCAATCCATAGTAAAAAAATAACACCTGCTGTAGCTATAGAGATACCCAACCTCAACCACACAGACGAGATTCCACAACTCATCCTCAGCATTAGGAGGCTGAGGATCAATCAGATAAAAAGAATATAGATTACTATAAACATTGTGGCTAGGGCACGTGGACTATGTTACATATACATGTGAATCCCAACCATAAGTAAAAAGGGCCATATGTCAAGCAATCAGAATTATGAAGAGGAAGTTGGCATGCATCTGAAACTGGACAAACTCCCAAAACTGGACAAAGAAGTCAATCTGGATCAGAATGGGAGTACAGGTGGGAGGTGGAAGGTAAGGAAATGGATATGAAAGCTACATAGCCTTCACGAGCAGCATAGGGCTTAGGAAGGAAGGATTTGTCTGGATATAGAATGACATCAATGGAATGGTAGATAATTTGGATAACATTAGTGGCATAAATAACTGATGAATGATGTCTGCAAGTGAGGAGAAGGAAATAGGTATTGAAAGAGAGATGGTGTATAGGATACAAAGGTTCAAAGGAAGGACAAGAAAGATTGAGATCCTAATCAGGCAATTCAAAGGACGCATGACCCAAAAGGAGTGGAAAAGGAGGGAAATGACAAAACCTAATGAAACTTGGAGAAACAAATTATGTTCGACAACAATGCCCGATAGCTATACACAGTCAAAGTGGACAAGCCTTTGTCAAACAACCAGGTGAAGAATTGAGAAAGATGAGGAATGGAAGGGTGGGAAGGATGTAAACTATGTTGAAGAGACCAAAGACAGAAGGTAGCCTATGGTAAATGGACATGGAAGAAGGTTGTATAGATCTAGAAAGGAAAGACAAAACATGTAGAGTCAGGCTCTGGGCTGAGGCAATGGACCTGACAAAAGCCATGTATGAAGATGGAGGATGGTGACGTCTGGATAAACAATGTCTGAACAAGGTTGATGGAGCAGAGCCCTTGACAGAGGTAAGTGTAAGGGAGGTTGCACAAGTAAAGGTTGGAGAAGAGCAGAAACCATGGTTCCAGCCAAAACAGAGCTACCAGGAGTGGTTTAGATTAGGGATAGAACTCTGGAGAGGAGTGAAATAGGAGAGTATGCACAGATGTGATGACCCTTCCAAACTTGACTGAATGTATACACTCCCAGAGCTAGCGGGTGTGGAATGGGAGACAAAAAGGAAGTTTGTTATTCCAGTTGGTGGCGAAAGCATCAATATGAGGAGTCCCCAGCTGAGAGCACACCCAACAAAAAACCTATAGATCAAGGGACCACTCCATGGGGAGAATCTTGTTGGGTTGAGATCCGCAACTAGATTCAGGGTGCCAGGAGCATGACAAGCTAAGACCACCTTGTGGTGACTGTAGGCCTAGAAAAGGAGATCCAGGGTCTAAAAGCACAGTCCTGGAGTTGGTAATATAAGTGAACACTGTGGAGTTGTTGGAGTGTACCATAATCACCACTCCCCCGCAGGAAAGGAAGGAAGTGGGACAAAGCTTGACAAATTCCGTAAGTTTGAGAATGTTGATATGGAAAGCAGATACCTTGACTGGCCTGAGAGTTGAGGTAAGCACCCCAAAAAGATGTAAATCCAGACAAGGTGGAGGAAGCAGAACCCCTGCCATGGTCTGGTCCCTGTCTAGCCACAAAGCCAGGTCAGCCCTGATTGGGGAATGAAAAGGAACAGGGTGGTTAAAGAGATTTGAGCAGAAGTTCCACTGATCAAGGAGTGTCCACTGAAAGGAACACATATGAGCTTGACCCCTGGGAATTACAGCCTCCAAGGAAGCCCACATCCCCAAAAGAGATAGAACCTCTTGAGCTGTGAGAGAATGTGAGGTGAGAGCCTTGTAGACTGCTTGCTCCATATCCCAAAAATGAAGAGAAGTCTGGGCCTGCTTGAGGTAGGAAGAAAAACCCACAAATGAACAAGGTATTGAGTGACAGTAAGAATGGACTTCTCCACCTTTATTAGGAATCCCACCCATGCCATTTTTTGGAGGAGCAGACGACTTGAGAGCAATGGGAATGTGAAGACGAGCATTCGTAATGTCAAATTGGGTCATCCAGAGTCCTGGGGAAAACACCCACCGAAGTGAGAGGTAGGAATCCATAGTGATATGAGGGGAGTCCAGCAAAGAATTCAACTAGGACAGATCAATGATAGGTCTCCAATCTCTGTCTTCTTGTTGGCCACAAAGGGACAGGAATAAAACTTTGGAGGAGCAGATTTTTTGGAGTAGCAGACGACTCGGGAGCAATGGGAATGTGAAAACAAGCATTCGAAATGTCAAATTGGATCATCCAGAGTTCTGGGGAAAACACCCACCGAAGTGAGAGGTAGGAATCCATAGTGAAGTGAGTGGAGTCCAGCAAAGAATTCAACCAGGACAGATCAATGATAGGTCTCCAATCTCTGTCTTCTTGTTGGCCACAAAGAGACAGGAATAAAACCCTAGTTGTATAGGCCACACCCATTCAATGGCCTCTTTGTGAAGCAGGTCATAGACAGCCTTGGTAAGACGACCAAGATATGTAGGATCCCGTCTGAATGGGAAGAAAATAGGAGAATGGAAAGGGGAGGTGAGGATTGTAACTGAAGACAGAAATCTCTGACAGAACTTATGGATCTGTCATGAGATGCCACCACATGACAGAAAAGTGGATAAATCTGGCCTCCACAGGTCTGGAAACCTCTGTAGCATCACCTATAACACTAGTGTCAGTCAGCCCGGATGCAGGAATAACAAGGATAGGGTCACAAGTGCCAGAAGGAAAACAAAGACTGGGATAAAGAAGTAGGAGGATGGGAAACAAGGACAAGCAACTCATGGGAGGAAGAGGGAGGGTGAGATAAGTGTGTGGCCAGAGAAGACAAGAAAGAATGCAATCTAGTCACATCCATCCTGGATTCCAAGGAATCAGGACAACTCCCAAATATGGTATTGTGTAGGAAGAGAGCCTGACACAGATCCCACAGGGAGAAATAGGAGAGATGCACCTCACAAGTAATGCATCTCTCCCCAACAAGTTCCAACAGCACATGAGCCAGGTATTACGGAAAAGGACAGAATCCAATAAACAAACCATAGTGGACCAAAGGAGGAACTCAAGTTCATTTGAAAAAGTTCAGGGGAGTGACGAAAGGCCTTTGAGAATAATTGGAAGGAAGACAGTTAACGTAAAAGGGAAGAGAGGGTAAAGCAAATCCTTGAGAATTGAGCTTGATTAAAATAAACAGTTGCTCCCAGATTCAAACCCCAAAGGGGAAGTAGAGGATCCAATTGTTGAGAATCTAAATAAGGATCTGAAGAGCAAAGATACGCCAAAGCATGATGGTCTGATAAGCATGGGGAATAGGGCATGGCAACACCGAACAGAAGTTGGTCCAAAAACCTTAGAGCATGAACCATAATATTAGGTGATGGGGGAAAAACATAAAACTCAGAAGACAGAATTTCCACCAATAAGGCATCACAGGCAATAGGGGAAACATGTAAAATACCGCATATTTGATTAACAAGCTGTAAAAAAAGGGGTGGTAGGCAAAATCTGTTGAAGAGGTGTAGATTGTGAGTGACCAAAATAAGAAGGTGCCAGAAAAAGATAGTCCAGATTGTCTTCTCCTTGATTGTATTCTTCCTCTGAAACATGTCAGATTGAAAAGAAGAAGAAATCACTGGCTGAACATATGCATCTCCCTCCAAATTAAGGCCTATACCTCCTCTACAAATAAAGTCAAACCCGAGTTCTCAAAAGTCAGACCAGAAGTGTTGTTGACTGTAACAGGAACTTCCGTATTTGATACATTGAAGCTCAAATTCATACCAAGTTCACTTAGAATTTTAAAACAAGAAACAAATGCAAAAAAAACATTGTTCAAACAATTGAATTCAAATACAGAAATTGAAAACTGTTGAACAAAAAAAAAAATTAAATGGCAAAGAAGCACAATCAGAAATGGTAGCCACACACATTAAAAAACACATCTAAATGATGTAACGCCAATCGAGAAAGTGAGGACTGAGTAGGAATAGCAGAGGGAGTTAGTTATGCCAATATAGATGGTGCAATACTATTGGTGGAGAGTTATCACATGCTATGTACATGTTCAATAGTGGCACAAAATTGGTGGAGAAGACCGTATCAGAATACACCAATCAGTCTGATATAGATAAAATCAATATTTTTTGAGTTTCATGGGCCAGCATGTGAATGTAATCAGCTGTAGGCTCTTCCTATTCTACTATTAAAAATTCAAAGTATACTAAAGCATAATATCATTAAAGTAGTGACAGTGATTATAATGGTTAAGATTAAGAGTTAGCATTTCAAAAAATCTAAAGTTAGAAACATTTTTACAGTAAATTATGTATCAAGAACAGTGTCTCTCATGGAATAAATTTTTGGATCTAATTTGAAATGCCATGGGTGACATTTTACTTCTATACTTTAATTACCATGCTGAAACCAGAAGTTGCTGTACAAGCAGAAACTATACATCATGTGAAAACAAATGTTTCAGCAATAAACATACATTGAAGACAACAACATGTACCTTGCCTTTAATAATTAGTTCTGAGTCCAAAGAGCAATGTGATACAGTTATGTTTTCACCCACAGTTAAGTCTACATACAATCAGAGAAAGTAATAAATTAATGCCAATAAAAGTGTTAAGAAACTCTAATATTCACTAATGGTGGTGATTAGCAAATGATCATAAAGCATTTATTTAAATGAAATTAAGTCAAAACTATAGGAACAGTTACAGTAAACAATATTCATGTATATGTAGATCAAATCTGTGTCAACAACACAGATATAAATGGAAATAATGGTTCTTACTTTAATAAAACAACTAAAATTATTTTTCCCACTAGTAATTTCTTTTCCACTAATATGTGGATGTTTATCAGTTTACTAGAAGTTAGGAGTGAACAAGTGTTAGACAATGACCATTTCATTTTGTGTGGTGACCATAATTAGTAATCAATCACTGTGACCAACAGCAGTTATTTTTCCTAATAGAAAGGCTGTGTACAGCTGTAAACCAAATTATGAAACATCCCATTCATAAAACTAACTTTTAGACATAAGAAGTGTGCAAAAAACAGAAACATCTTACTCTGGACATCTAAAACTTTTAGTTATGCTTCCTAATACTTAAGCTTACATTTCTAACCTTTTCATTCCATCACTTCAACAGTTTCCATTCACAAGTTACTCAAGCATCTTATAATTTCAAATGTATTTAAATCATACTAGTTATTCTAAATGTAGATTAGAGAAAACATTCTTTAAGCCGCTTTTCATAGATCAAATTTTTTATAGCAGTTGTCAACTTACTGGTATATATCTACCTTCTTTCCAGTCTACCAATATGTTTTGTAATATATGAAGAGAATAGATACTACCATAAAATGTTACAATATTCTTCTTATTATTAAATGATTTTATCCAGGGCTGTTTAAGCTATATTTCAATACAGTAAGGTAACTTAAGCTTAAGGTATAGATCTATAAGAGACTAGTATTTGAAAACTTACCTCACCTGTCTATAGGCTTAACTTTTTAACTACTGTGCATACTTGTAAACCCAGCATACCCTTTCTCTTCTACACCCCACACCCCCAAAAAGCACTCTTTACAATAACTTTGTCCAATTTCAGTCTTGCTGCCTTAACCCTATGTGCACAGGTAGGGTCAAATTGTGCATATCCCAATTGTGTACAGTGACAGTTAACACAGTATTATGCACTTGATGTCAGATTTATAACATTTCATGTCACCCTATCTTGATGATTTCACAACAACTGTGTTAAAGAAAATACCAGATACAATATACAGAGATGGTGAAAAAAAAACTTTATACATGTATTTGGGAAGTTTTAGAGGTTATTTGGAAATACATTTTTCAAACTGTACAAAAAGTATCTTTATTCTTCACATGAACATCATCATGCACTTTGACTTGTCAGAGTCCAAGTCAGACTGACTTTGGCATTTCACGGACATATCTTTAGTTCAAAAAACTTAGTTACACATCTGAATTTTTGTGTACAACAGACTTACACTGTTGACTAAAAGCTTGCCACATTTTGTTAATACACATTTATAAGTTCAGAATCATGGTCAAACTTCTCCAATATGCAATCAGTCCAATACCCTGTGTACATTCAGTTAAGCTCTACTATTAATCTGCTATCCCTCCCCCAATAGCATAATATACAACAAAGGTATTTAACTCATTTTCAAATAAGCAATCTCTGCGGCCTTAGTGTACTGCCCTTCTCAGCGTTCTCAAAGCCTCACTGAATTTGAAGCCCAAAAGTTCTCAAACACAACCTAATAATACTGGCACTTATTGTAGCCAATAAATCCCACCTCACTTACCCCTGAATTACCTTTGACAAGTCTTTATTCTCTGTTTTCAATCTACCCAACCAATAATTGTGTGAGTATATGTGTGTATATATATATATATAAAATAAGTATTAAGAAAATTTTAGTAAAGAATCCATTGTCAATCCTAGTTGTCACCTTAAAGTCATAGCAAGTTCATTATTGTTTTATAGTGCTGATTTTAATCGCCTATTTACAATTAATTTCATTAATTGTAAATAGGCAATTAAAATCAGCACAAAATAAAAATTACACTAATAATTACAGTGACTAATACTGAAGTAAGCATATATATATATATATATGCTTCATTGACTACGAGAAGGCTTTGAACAGGATGTACTATCAAAGGATAATAGATGTGTTAACCACGTGTGACAAACAGTAGAGATGTGACATTCATCCAGACCCTGTACTGGGAGCGAAAAGCAAGTATTCATCTAGAGGAAGGTCAGTCAGTCAGATACCTTCAGTGTTAAGCATGGTGTAAGACATGGTTGCATATTTTAACCAAAACTACACAGAACAGATATTTAGAAAGATAGATGAGCTCCCAGAAATAAGAACTGAAGGGGTTACTATAGTGGCACGGAGGTATGTTGAAGATACAGTGCTTCTGGCAGAGTCAGAGGAAGTATTACACAGAATAAAGTATTTAGTGTGTGGGAGAAGTTTAGAGTACAGGTTGAGCATTTATATAAAGGAGACAAAAACCATAGTTGTGAAGAGAGATGAAAAAGTTAACATCAAAGAGGATGGTCACACTAGAACAAGTGGACAAGTCTGTTTACTTGGGGCAACTAATAACTGAAGATGGTAAATATGAAGCAGAAGCCAGGAGACGGATAGAAATTGCAAGAGCAAATTTCATCAGTATGAAAGATTTATTAACCACAAAAAATATTAGGTTAGAGACAAAGAAAAAACTTATAAAATGTTATATACAATCCATCTTCCCATATTCTGCAAAGCCTTGCACACTAGCCAGAGAACTATAGAACAAAAGGAAGCACTGGAAGCGTGTATACTTAGAAGAATGTTGAAAATATCATATACAGAATATAAA